TGAATGTGGTTATACTGTACAAATTGTACACTTATGATACTTTATTATCCTTACTGCTCTATTTGCAAGAGTGAAGATTAATGGCAAATAATGCATGTTTAATTTAAACAATCTCTTTCTTACCTTATGGTGGTAGTCACAAGGGCAGCAACTAGCAACCAAGCACCTGTTCTAAAGAACTGTACAATGCTGACACTAAATATATTTTGTGCCTGTTCTTTGCTATTATTTACTGTGCATATGTTTCACTGCATAAGTAACTGAGCCATGTGTTACTGCTTAGTATATCTATTTAAACAATGAGAGTCAAAAGTAAATACTGAGCTGCACTCAGAGTAGACCCACTGGAATTAATGGATGGGTTATTTAAGTCTACTGATTCTGGTAAGTCTACTCTGAGTATGACTCATACTGGATATCACCCTGTATTATTCTAAATTTTGTTCCAAATGACAGAATGTCCAAATTCATGTTTGAGTCTCCAAGCAAATGCATGACAGATATTAAACTGCTAAAATGCCTCATGCCTTTATATGTGCATATGAACAATGAATGCCATACAAAAAGATGATGAGGTTTTTGGTAAGAAAAACAAAAACAGCTGAATTTGAACAAAAATGTTATTTTGATTGCAAACTTTTATCTTCATTTAGTCTATCTACACTTAAGGTTTTACAAAGTGATTTCATCAGGCGGGATAAAGGAAATTCTATAAAATATATCAAAAACCAGATGGATACTCTAATAGGTTAACTGAAATAGCTGCAATTTCCAGGCTGTGACACTATTGAAATAGTAGATGACTCTGTACTCATGTGACCCTGTTGTTTCTGCCATTAATATTACAGGCGAAGCAACCCTGGTGAGGAGGATGAAATTTAGTGATGGAGAAACTGCCACTTCCTGTTAACTTGCGCTGCACAGGTGAGAATGTAGGGGAAAGCAGCAGTTGCTCCTTTTTCAGATTTTCTTCATTGTTGTTTTTCAAAATTCCTTGCCCTTTAACCTCAATGGAAATAAAACAAACAATGTGAGTTCCAGTAGTTTTGCAGCCAGTGTGAGGTGTGTCTGTCTGTCAAAGGACCATGTAGATCTGTAGACCTTTGGTCTCCTGACAGGCAGACAGATCATGTAGATCTGTAGACATGCCCTTGGAACTTTCCATTTTGGCCTCTAATGTGGCAGGATTTCTACCTGAGGAAAAGTTATGGCAGGTCTTCCTCTCCGTGGACAGAGTGGGAGGTCTGTAAGTGGACAAGGTGGTCCATCAGAGGTGACCTGGTGTGGCAGTGGCAAGCTCTGCTACCACCACCATCCTGTGGGCAGAAACATTGCCACTTTCGGAGGCCAAAACAGAGAATTCTAGGGGTGTGTCAAGGGGTGCCTCAGGTCTGCAGGATCTTAAGCTTCCCTGTTTCCCTGACATGTTCCCAAACTGCTTCCAAAACTAAGTGGTGGTTGCTCTGCCAAAGAAACATTGCCACCATTCAGGATTGCTGTCCATCATTTTAAAAAGAAAATATCCTGCTTTCCTGTCTGTTTAGAAAAGAGATGGCTAGATCTGCCGCAAACAAATGTGTCAATTGATGCAGTTATTGTGCACAAAAGCTAGCACCTGAACGACCACTGAACTGACATTAACTGATGCTTCATCTATATCACTCTTCAGCCTGTACGTTTTGCAAAGAAGTCTGCTGTTCTTTTCTCCATTGCCTGGGAAAGGAACAATATATTGTGCTAGGACTGGTCCAAGATGTTTTGCTGTCAGAGATGGAGTAGTATGGTGCATATTCCCAAGGTCAGAAAAGCTACTTTGGCACCTGGGACATAAAATCCCACTTGTGCTTCTTCCCCCGCCCTGGCAGTAAACCTACATCAATAACAGATTAAATAACTAACAGTTTGCTGCCATTTCATCACATCCAAAATCTGCTCCCGAGGCTGCCTCCCCATTCTGCCTAATGCTAGGACAGACCCTGATCATCATGAGTTATTCTGGTATCTCAGGCACATCTTTTTGGATGGTTTTATGGATGTGCAACTGGGTTTAGGGACTATGGATAAGAGGCACAATTTAGTCTTTAAAATACTGCCCTGGTGAGCACAACTTGTTCAATGAAATGCTAATGTAACATTTATAAATGACATGATAATGTAACTCCATGAATATACATGCATGTATTTGTAGACAAGTTGCTTCCAGGTAGAGGCACCTGCCTACGACTGTTCACTCTTTGTAAGGTTGTTAGGGAACCTAAGCCAGGTTCATTCTAGTACATGTGCAGCATGCACAAATCCTGTCCAGTATGGTTCCCTTTTTCAAAAGTAGACATGGGATCCCAGTCAGGCTGTGCAGTTTAAGAGCTGTGCAGTTTCATTCTGTTTGCGGTCTACAAAACTGTTCCTTCACTGTTCTTGCATGCTAATTAATTTTTATTTTTGCTTTAGATGTTGAAAATTAGCATTAAAATGCTATAAATAATACAATCTGTTAGAAAGCTCGGCTTTTCTGGTATTTTATCCTCTCATTTCCTATTAATATTACATTAACCTGTCAAGGTCTGCCCCCCCCCCCGCTTCATTTTAGACTTCCCACAACAAATATGGTGTCTGATGATGACTTCTCAGATGCTATAAACTAGCTGTATACAGCTACAGTCCATAAGGCAAATCCATCCAGCTGCAATGTTCAACACTCATATAAAAACAAATGGCAAAATATTAGGTGCAAAAGATTGTCAACATATCTGACTCACTGGTGGCTCCCAAATCTCTTTTAGAATGGATTTAACAGATGAATTTTCTTATCCATTCATTCATTTGCGGAATCATAATCCACTTCCCAGAGAAAAACTACTGAGGCAGTGTACAATAATATAATGATAAAGCACAAAAGTTTACAAACTCAGTAAATTAAAAGCAATAAAAATAACTTCTACAATTCTACAACTAGTGTTCCATAAAATGATTGGGATCCACATCTTAAATAAAAAAATATCTTCAGTAGCCTTCACCATGGTTTTCTCTGCCTCCAAAGATCACAGGCAGCATACTTTTGAATACTAGCTGCTGGGAATCATGGGTTGGGATAGTGCTGTTGCAACCAGGTTTGGCTTGCATACTTCTCATGGGCAGCCATTTGGCCGATGCAGGAACAAGATGCTGGGCTAGATCAGCCTACGGCTCTTATGTTCTTACTGGCCACCCAATATTAAGATGGTAGGCATTTGTCTAATTTCAGTTGGTAACTGATTCCAGAGGACTAGAGCTGCAACACTAAATGCCCCGATGTCTAGTAAATATAAAAACACCCAGTCCGTTCAGTGCTACCCAGTTATGCGTGTATCTGGAAAGTATGTCTGTGTAGATGTTGCTAAACCTATTTAGTTAATTTCTACACAAGCATGAAATATACAGTGGTATCTCTGGTTACATACTTAATTTGTTCTGGAGGTCCGTTCTTAACCTGAAACTGTTCTTAACCTGAAACACCACTTTAGCTAATGGGGCCTCCCGCTGCTGCCGCTCCACTGCCGCGCGATTTCTGTTCTCATCCTGAAGCAAAGTTATTAACCCGAGGTACTATTTCTGGGTTAGCGGAGTCTGTAACCTGAAGCGTATGTAACCCGAGGTACCACTGTACAATGCATTTGAGCTATTATTTATTTATTTATTTATTTATTACATCTATATTCTACCTTGCCTTCGAGGAGCTCAATGCATGACTTCTCCACTCTTCCCCTATTTTATACTGCCAACAACTTGTGAGGGTTAGGCTTAGAGGCAGTGACTGGGCCAGGGTCACTCAGGAAGTATTATGGCTGGGGGAGGATTTGAAACCTGGTCTCCCAGATCCTATTTCGACACTCTTAATTGCTGCAGTACAGTGATCCTAAATAAGACAATTGGTTATCACAATCCCAAAATGATGAACCAGTTGTAGACTATCATCCTGGTCATGACCTAGCTGCTTTAATACTCCATTCTCTTTATTTCTTAGCATGGTACATTGCATAGCATCAGGCTCCGGCAGAACCATACACCATACATTTAAAGCACATTCAACACATATGGCTTCCCTCAAAGAATCCTGGACACTGCAGTTGGTTAAAGAGGCTGGGAACTCTGCCTACAATTCCCCCCCCGGGGGAAGCCATGCACTTTAAATGCATGTTGAATGTGCTTTCTTTGTATGGCGGGAGTCTGCTGGCTGTGCCTGGAGTCATTTGATATTCTGTTAAGCAGCCAGAGGGCACTACTACAAGGCTGTTGTGTGGAGGGCAACACTGGAAAGGCAGTGGGTGTGAGGATACACACCAAATAAGTTGGCTAAGAGCCCTGGAAGAAAGATTTTGTAACATTTATGGATTGCAAAATGTTTCAAAGCGATGTACAAAAAGAGTAACAACAACTGAAACATCCACAGTCATGGGTGTAGCCAGGGGGCCTCCAAAAAGTTGTTGAGCTAATTTTGGGGAGATCACGGGTAAAAATCCCCCCAAAGAGGGGGGGCAGACTTTTGTTTTTTGGGAGGGCAGGCTTCTGCTGGGGGGGGCAGGGACAGAACCTCAGTTAATTGAGTATTTTTAATGCTTTTCAATACTTTTAGAGGATTTAGGGGGGCAACTGCCCCCTGCCCCCCCCGGTCTACGCCCATGTTCACAGGGTGGTACATTGCGATACACTGATGTGAAGCATTGATAAAAACCGAGCAATTTTTCTACCTGAGCTGCCTAAAGTTCCGGGACCGATTCTGAACGTAGGTACCTATTTGCGCCCCCTTGAAACTCCTGCTCCTTCGCCGACCAGACCTGTCCCCTCTTGCCTTCCTCGCATAGAAGCGATCCCGATCCCGCGAGCCTGGGAAAGCAACGTGACGCCGCGGCGCCGGGGGGCTTTGCATATATTATGCAAATGCCCCCCGAACCCCCCAGCCTCCTCTCTCTCTCTGGGAGCGCGCTGGGCGCCCGCCCCTCGGTCTAGGTGAATAAATTATGCTAATGAGGCTCCCGCGGTTCTGGCAGGCGCTTGGAGGCGGCGTGCGCTGTGCAGAGTCCAGAGCAGAGAGCGCGAGGCTCAGGAGTCGCTGCCGCCGCCGCCGCTACTGTTCCTGACAGCCGCTACCGAAGGCGCCTACGCAGCCAGGGGGCTGCAAACACGCTCCGGGGAAAGGAAGAGAACCGCTGCCGCTGCCGCCGCCGCCGCTCGCCGCTTCCTGGGGTCCCCTCGCACTTGGCTTGCCGCCGAAGTGACCCGGGCGCTGCGTAAAAGCGCACCGAGGAAGCCTGAGGAAAGCGGTGCAACAAGTCTCCGCTCCGCGCCGCTGGGTGGGGGAAACGGCTCCGGGGAGCACCTGGGAAGGTTGTCGGGCTTCGCTGGAGGGAGAATATTCCACGGAGGCGGCGTGTGGACCGTGTGGATGGCAATTTTGAGGGGCGCCCTGAGGAAGCTCGCCATGGTCTTTCTGCCTTGAAAGCCCCGCTCGCGCTTTGGCAAGCAGGCAGGGGGGTCTTGACTTGGAATTTATTTTTGTCGCGAGTGGGGGGCGCGTGTTCGCGTTTCTGGGGGCGGGCAGCTCCGGGCCAAGTGTCCCTCCCCCCCAGAGGAGGAAAGGGGATTTCGCCCTCCGCCTGTGCCAGCAGCCCAGCATGGTGGGGAAAAGCCCGGACGCCAAAGGTCAGGGTGCCAACGGGGAGGCCAGCTGCTGGGGAGGACAGCGCTGCTGCTCCGGCAGGACGGCGCCCCCCAGCTCGCTGCTGGCTGCCCTGCTGCTCTCGGCGGCATCCATCGCTTCCTGCGTGTATCTGGGGATGAAGACCAGTGACCTTCAGGCCAGGGTCTTGGCCATCGAGACGGCCCAAGGGGACGGATCTGCTGCTGCTGCTGTTTCCTACCAGCTGCTGCCCAGCTACTCTTTGGATCAGCTCAATGCACTGATGAAGGAGAACGTGGAGCGGCTTCTGGCTCAGGTGGGGTGGCCTTGGGAGGCTGAGGGTGGGACTCCCAGGAAGAGACAGTTAGCCAGCCACCTCAGGAATGCCTCTCTGTTTACTGATGGAGGCCAGTTGCATGCGTAGCCCAAAATCGAAGCCAAAGGCAATAGAAGAAAAGTAGGGGGTTCGTGCGGGCATGCTTTCAACAGAAAGAGAGAGAAACTGGGTAAATATTAGGAAAAGAGTGTGTGAAAATAGCCAAACATTTTTGTGTGGCTGAATGACTTTTAGCTGGTTTTATTCTGGTAATTTGCGGACAGGGCTCCCCACGGCTTAGCCCTTCAGTTGGCTTTGAATTCTACAGAGACGCACTCTTCATTATTGTTATTCACAGAGAAATAGAATCATAGAATTGCAGAGTTGGAAGGGACCCTCCAGGTCATCCAGCTCAAGCCCTAGAAATGTAGGAATTCTGCCCACAGCCGTCTCTGGGTGGGCTCAAATCACCAGCCTTCTGGTTAACAGCCAGACACACTTCTTTACAGAGAAGCAATAATAATGAAGAGGGTGCCTCTGAGCATGTACAGTGCGCCTTTCTGTTTTAACATTAGAAAGGAAAGAAGCCATACAAACCTCAAGCAGGGTGCTGTCTAGACAGACTTGATCTTTGAAACTAAATTAAGCCTTGGGCAGCAATAGCTTGAACAAGATGTTAAAAATCAGCATGGCCGCGTTGCTCTATGAACTGTGTTGCTCTGTGGGCATGGGATAAAGGCACAGTCTTACGAGACCTGGGATAGCTTGAAAAAAAAGAGACATCTGTATTGTTATATCAGGACTGTTCCATGTGTATTTCAAAGTGATGCCGTTCCCACCGAATGGTAGAAGAAATCCCTTTTACTTTAGTGTTGTGGCTCTTAAAATGCTTTTACTGAGATCCTTTGGAAGATAAAAATGTTCCAGACTTGAGGCTCAACAAGAACCCATGCAGACATGTGGCTGTAAAATGTGGATCCAAGTTTCAGTGGGCTGCCAGGACCTGTCCCTAGTGACCATTTGGCAGCAGCCAGAATCCAATTGGCAGCGGCTGCTCCTATAATTGTGGTAGCATTTGACCTTCATATATAAAATATTCATTACTCTCTCATCTCTAATTTACAGATATTCACTCAAACCCAAGTTTTCTGCATTATTTTGTGCTTCACAGATGTGGGAAAGGGTGGGTGACTGTGTTCACATGAGCAGGTAAAACGTGCGCAAGGGTGATTCAAGTGAAAGCCAGTGTCTCTCTGTGTGTGACCATTTAATCCATTAGCTATTGTCGGGGTGAACAAGTGATGTGAGCTGACTGAAATCCAAGTTTAGAGACCGTTGTAACTTAAGTAGGATATTAAACAGAGGTAAATCATAATGCAACACAGATCCACAGAATGTTTAACACCAGCTCTCTTAATCAGTTTCTCCTGCAACGGACTAACATGCTGCTTACTGCTTTTTCTGTCTTTACCTCTCCTCCCTACAGAAGTCCTATGAGCATATGGCAAGAATCAGAATAGCAAGAGAAGCTCCTCCAGAATGCAATTGCCCACCAGGTAAATGGCAGCAGCCTGGACAGTTCTAACTCTGTTTTTGTTTAATGCTTGTAGACGGTTTCTTTGATTAGCTGATGGTGCTAAAGAAAGGTTTGAGAAGCATATCTGCTGTCTTCTGAAGTTTGAGATTAACAGAGGGGGGAAATGTTAAGTAATATAGAAGAACAGCCTTAAACTTTCTAAGTAAAGATCAGTTTTACAGAAATAAGTGGAGTTTTCTTCCATGTACAGGTAATTCACAATTTACACACATTTAATGTGTGTGCATTTAGCTTTACATGCTTGGGAATCAGGAAAAATAAAAAATAAAGAGGGAGTGAAAAGGGGGGGGGCACATCTGGGAAAAAAGACTTTGGCAATCCCACCCACCATTGAAGCCAATGTGTTTTGACTATACGCAATCCCTGTGTAAGTTGATAGTCACCTGTAATTGCAATGTGTGTTAATATTTTGCCTCTTAAGTACTGTGCTGTGTGATCTTAAGTGTGCTTGCCAAAAAAATTAATTGCATTGTATTCATTTGGACTTATCCTCTATTAAATCAAGTCTACAGCCATTGGCCTGCGGGGAAGTCCCTTTGAACTCAGTGGCAGGGGTGCCGACTTGAATTAAAAAGGGGGGAGGCAGGTAAGCCCTGCCCTGCATAATCACAAAATGCAGTGCACCCACCCATCATTTGAATGGCAATGCCTACAAATTCTGTGGGGGGAAGCCCCCCTAAATATTTTATTGGGGAGGGGCTGAAGAAGTTGACTTATATGCTCAATTGACTTTCTTCTGAGGAGAACTGTATAGGATTGCACCATGAGCCTGCAATCCCAGGCACAGTTGCTTGGTAGTAAATCCCGCTGGAAGCAGTGGTATGTACTAATGAACAAAATGCATCTGAGAAGGTTATAAGGCTGGAATCCTGTTCACATGTGCTAAGATTTAAATCCCATTTAATTCAGGGGAACTTACTTCTAAGTTAATATGCATAGGCTCAAGCTGTCAATCCACTTATTTTTTACGTATGATGCATTCAAATCAGTGGGATTCAATTCGAATAAATGTATTTAAGAGTGAAGTGTTAGATATGTGGTTGAATGCATTCATGTAGCAGTACAAGCTTTACAGAGATGTTTGTGTTTAACGAGCAGCAGCACACATTCTGACATTCTGTAGTGTAGGATCGCATCTGTGAGCAGTTCTGTGCAGCTGTTTGGCTCTTCTGAAAGGAGCAAGTATGTTAAGTACATCAGACAGTTCAAAAAACAGATCCAAAAATAATTTTAGTGTTTGGTTTCAGTTTGCATTAAATAATACATAAACTTTTGGGTTACTGTTTCCTTACTGTTTCCTTCATCATTGTAAAGGGATATTTTACCAGGTGACTGCATGTCTCCTGCTGTATATTATTATAAGGGATATGAGTTCACTACTGAAATCCATTAACTTCACTGGACATTCTTTGCAAGCAAACCTTTAAGTGGTGGATTCTATGAAAACAGGGTCAACAATGTGTGAAATGTTATTATCCCTGCAGTCTATTTTTTGAAAAGGCCAGTGCTGCTTAGGTAACTTACCTTAATGTTTTTTATAAGTTATATATGAAGTTATGCTGTTTTATGTTGGGCATCTTGAAACTGGAATGTGTTACAGGATGAGGGACTGTTGTAGGTATTTATGTAGGGTGCACACCTTAAGCAAAATGCTATTAATTTAAATATTAATGTGGGATAACTATGAGTAAGCCATTTAACTCTCGGTTTTGAAAAGTTGCTGGTTTGCCATTATAATGAGCAAAGTAACTTAGCCTGGTAATTAGTACATTAGATACACTTAAACATAAGATGTACTCATGTGAAGTAGGCATCAAATGATTACTGGGGAGCAGTTCACATTCCTGGGGGAAGCATTGGGCATTCTGCCTAGTAACCCCCCCAGCTGACCATACAGTAGTGTGGCCTTCTGTGATGAATGCACAAGTACCTTCTCTTGCAGAAGTTTCATGCAACTGGGACACTTGATCGCAGAAGTGTCTTCATGGTAGGAAAGTCTGTACACATGCAGGCTTTTTCACTGCAGATGACCATGCTAATGTAAGGAGTCTGGAGTCAGGGCCAGGCAGGAAGGCTGATGCTGTGGGTGGGGCTGGAAATGTGGTTGTACTCTTCTGTAATTGAGTTATGCATGAAGAAGGCTTTAGAGGATGACTGACCCTTAGAGCTAAGGTTCATTACTCAGAGACAAATCCATGTTTGCCACTGAGTGTATTATCAACAGATATGTGCATTTTTTAAAACTGCACTTCAAATATATTGGGTTATATCTAAAAAGAAATATCTGAACAGGCTTGGTTTTCACTGTGATGATTAGTAGTACAGAGCTCTTTATCGTCTTCTTCAACAGTACTAACGGCTAAACTGGCATTAAACTAAAGAGCTGCTAAGGCTTTGGTAACCATTTTGGCTCTCTAGAACAAAAAGCATGGTGCAAATGGGGCGATACCATTTATTAACCCAGGAAATGTTCAAAATGTGAAACTCCTCTGCAAACAGAGTAGTCCGAAACAAACATTGGATTATATTACTCCAGCATTGTTGAGTGGTTTGTATATAATAAAAAGCATGGCTGGCTGTTGCTTTAAATAGCCATGTCTGAAGAAGTATTTTCTGCAGGGGTGCCAACTTGTATAAAATATGGGGAGGGCAGGAAAACCCCACTCCACATAATTGATCACACAACATGGCACATGCACACCATTTGAATGGCAATGCCCATAAAGTTTGAAGGGGGCAATCCCCTTAATATTTTATTTGGGGAGCGGCAAGGGACCTCGGCCCCTAGGATTTGGCTCCTGTATCACCTTAAAACGTACATTAAATTTGTAAGAGCAGAGGTAATACACAACAACAACTTTTCTTCTTCTTCAGGGGAGACATACAAACATTTTGTCAGGCTTTGGCTAATATGTGTGTGTAGCAAAATTTTGAGCTTTTAGTAGGCATGGTTTACTACTTTCTTAAGTGGTATGATCCAACATGCAGATGCATTCTTTGAAGCTGAAACTCAAATATCATGCTCTCCATGATATTTGTAACTGAAAATAAACACTATAGTTGCTTCAAAAAAATTCCTGATCTACTTTCAAGCTTAGACACAGCCTCTTCATACAACTGCACTTATTACACATGCTGCCTTTCTTCTTTGCTGCCACTAGAGCTCCACATTATACCAACTATTACCTGAGCATCCCTTCTCTTTCTCTATGTCTTTAGTATTGTGTTCCATTATATTGAAATCAACTGGATTTGTAAGTACACTGGAAGACATATTCCAACATGCTGAAGAGAAGCACGTGTTGAAATGGCATGTGTCAGGGATAGAAAACTTTAAAAATTAGGTGAGATTAATAGAATGTGAATTATTTTTTAAAAGGACTCTAATTGTCATGGGATGAAAAAAGCAGACCCCACCTTTTGATCACTAGTCACTCTGAAGAAGGCATTGAAGAGTGATCATATGTATGATTACTGCATCTCAAAACTTGTAAATTAAATTTTAAGTCTCAAAACTGAAGTGATCTAAAAATGAAATATTTGAGTTTCCAGTCAGGATAAGAATTTAGGAAATATTTAAATAAAACTACAAGAAACAGTTAAAGATAATCTTATACAGCCACTGTCCACTCCTCTTGCCTATTCCCTGCACAAACCCTCTTGCAAATCCATCAATCAAAGTATTTCATGTGTTCTGAGTTTGCTTGGAAGTTAGGCTTCCATGTGGTTACAGACCTGCCTGTTGCATGATCAAATACTTGTACTAGATGCTTGTATTAGCATATCACAAGCCATGCCAGTATGTGCATCAAGTTAATTCTGACACTGTGTTAGGTCAGAGAGCTTTCAAAGGTAAAAAGAAGTTGGTCAGTGTGTCATAGCTGCTCACCAAACTCAAGCTGAAATTTTTGTTCAGTTATGAAGATCATTAAATGGCTATAAACATGTTGTTAGCCCCAGAAGGTTTATGTATATGAGTCTAAATTTCTGATTGTAGAACAAGCAAGTAGATAACAGCAACAACAACAATTTTTGTGGGAAAGGCTGTTGACACCAGTTTGTGCAACGCAACAAAAATGGGACATGTTCAGCCAGAGTAAAAGTTTGAACCATAATGCTTTGAAGTGATCTTATGTATCAATTCTCAAATATGCCTTACTCTATCAGCTGTTTTTTATTATCGCAAAGTGGTCAGTTTTAAGATTTATTCAAAGCTCCATAACTTTCTGTTAGCATCACGTGGAAACAGAGCAAGTAGGTCTTGAAATTGTTTATTTAGATTACTGTGAACACAATTTTCTATTTTTGTGGCCATTGAAATGCTCAGGTAAATAAAGATGGAACTCTGGGGACTAGTGTCGTTTGATGCCATTGTGGTTTAATTTACTGAATTTATTTATTATCAATTCACACAACTGAACAGAGTCCCAAAGCAATTTACAGGAAACATAAAATACAAAATTGCATAATAAAACATTCATGAAAACAATACAAATATACTAAAAGTGTTCATAAAACACACACACCACCTAGTATGATATATAATTCTGATTCATATGTGTAGACTGTGTTCTCGAATTGATTATTTTCTTTAAAACTCCATTGTAGTTTTATACTTTATGATTACATTACTGCGAGTCAGGATCAGCACTGGATTATTTGAATGGATTCTACAATAGTTGTTGTTGTTGTTGATGATGATGATTCAAGTACTGCGAAATGCTCCTAGCTTCAATGACTAGTGACATTCTGCTGGTCCTTTATGAACCCTGTAAAAAATAGTTTGTTCCATTTTCTCCTTGGCAAACTGCAATCTCCTGGCCATTTAGGAAGTGATCTGATCTCAAACATTGAAGTGCAGTAAGCGTGATTCTGATTAATGTGAGCTAATCACTCCCTTGTGGTTCTCCATGGTAGGATTCTGCACGGCCAGAGATAGGTTTCTTAAAGTCTTGGTCA